CGCTGTGCGGGCCCGGCGGCGGCTACCGAGCGCCCGGAGGGTAGGCAACGCAAGGGCAGCCGTGCTCGGCGGGACGGTATCCTCCGGGCGCTCCCCGCAACAGACATATGGTAGATGGTCTCTTCCTCGTTATTGAAAAGCAACGTAAATTTGTGTTGCAATTTTGAACTACAAAATATGTTGAAACTTTTATTTGCAAATTGTATCTTTTATATTTGCAACATATATTGTTAATTTGTTAATTAGATCAATTCCTAATTCCAAGTCGATACGAAGTACTTGTAAATTTACAATTTCAAATGGTAAGTTTTACGACAAACATTATGGATTTTTTTTTCTGTAAGCCTACGACTATTTAGCAGAGTGGTCACAATGATTATTTCTAAGCACGCCTTTTCGCAAACTACTACTCAACTTACGGAACACTCGAATCACGAAGTCATATTTTTGGCAGCTGCCGACTCTCTTTATTTTTCGGAGGGAAAAAAAAAGAAGAGGAGGGGGGGGGGGTGGATACATACCGTACTGTCGGAGAAACGTTCCAAAAATATTATTCAGCGTACGCTCCATTTTTCTTCTCTGTTATGTACTCAAAAAATTATTTCAGGAGAAATGTAGGGGGTTTCACACCTGCCGGAATAACAGGGGTGCCTTTTGGGAGCGACGGCCTACAGGGTGTGTGTGTGTGTGTGGCGCTCGGACTCGACACGCGAGCCAACACACACACACACGCGCGCACGCGCGCGGGACGGAGCTGTATATTTGCTGTAATTCTGAGGGAAAACACCGGCCCCATAATGGGCGTGGCGGTTCTTTTCTATTTATTTTCCGAGTGCGAAACAGCCCCGCCGGTGGCGCGTTTGCGAATGTATGTGTGCGAGCGCACGCGCAAGGGTGTGCGTGTGTGTGTGTACGTGTGAGTGTACGTGTGAGTGCGTCCCGCCTCACCACGCGCCGCCCCGTAGAGCCCCGCACGGCTCCGGGCCCCGCATTTGGGTTGTAAAAGCTGCCGTAAACCCCGTAACCCGAGACCCTGGCCGTCACCAGTCCCTCCCCCCAATCGGACCATCTCTCTCCTCTCTCTCTCTCTCTCCCACGCACCCAGGGAATCACTGCAAGAGGACGCCACTCCTTCCGGAAGGACTCCTCGACCCGTGAGGGAAAAGTACCCCAGCGCCCACCGGTCGGTTGAGCACTGTGTGGAGTTTGAGAGTAAAGCGCAACTCGGAGGTATGCGGGGACGGAAAGTTTAAAAAAATGTTGTGCGTGTTCAGAAGAGAGAGAGGGAGAGAGTAGCAAGACTGCTGCTGCCCGAGCTGCGCCAGCGTGTTTGACTTGCAGTACGGAGCTCCTCATTTCGGGACAAAATTCACGGGAAAGTAAAGGGGGGAGAGAGAGAAGAGAGAGAGAGAGAGAGAGAGAGAGAGAGAGAGAGAGAGAGAGAGAGAGAGAGAGAGGGAGAGAGGGAGAGAGAAGCAGAGAGAGATGCGGAATCGAAAACGGCCCCACCGCGCGCGTCCTCGGCAAATGCTTCCGCCAACAAAGGCAGACCGCAGCGACAACTTCCTTTCCGAATAGACTGGAGCGAGGAGACAGATGTCACATCGCTAACTTGTGTTTTAGTCAAAACTTGTCGTCTGGTCTGCTCCGCGTCGCTCTTTCTCTCTCTCTCTCTCCTCAGAGAAAGATAGCGTGATCTGAACGTATGTGCGTGGGGAGAGGGACGCAGGATCGAGAGGGGGAGGGGGTGAGAGAGTGAGAGAGAGACAGAGAGAGGCCAACTCGTCTTTTGTTGTTTGGATCAGCCGCAGCCCTTCCTTTTCCTGGCGACCGCAAACAGTCGCCGATGAGAAGACCAACTCCCTCTATCCGATTCGCCTTCCGGGTCCGGGTAAGCGGGGAGCGTGCAAATAACGCAAAGCAGCTGATCTCTACACAGTAGAGACGACGTGCTTTAATTGTATATTTATCTACCCTTTTTTCCTCGCCGACTCCGCTTACCATGGAGAGCAGGTTTTGTACCAAAGGTTGTTTTTTTACCGCACAGCGAGTACTACTTACATAACTTGGAGCCGCACTCTCGAAGCTCTGCGCCCTGCCACTGACCCGCCGACAAGGTGTTGTGAGCCTACACACAGAAGAGAATGTGCGAGAGGGGGAGGGCAAAAAAATATTACACAATACAGGGACGAGGGAGTGAGATGAAGATATGTAGCGCAGTCACCGGATCCACGCGGGAGAGCACGAGTGCGTGCGTCGGGAGGGCCGGCGCGGTCATATGGAGGTAGTCGCTGTAATAACAAAAATAATAGTGATAAATTTTAGCGGCCCCGGAGCGGGGGTGGTTTTACCCCAAAGCTCGTTCTCCCCCGGTGTGGCGGTGGCTCCGGCCCGCCGCGGAGAAATGCTCGCAATGTACCACTGTACCACCCTCCCCCGCTCCAGCCGGGATCCAGTTATGCAACGCACCCCGCCCTCCCCCGCGCTCTCTCATATTCCTCTCTTTTGCTCTCCCCCATTGCCTCTCCCTGGCTCTCTCCCCCGCCCGCTCCCCCGCGGCCTACTCGAACACACGCGTGGTGTCGGAGTGAAGGGCCGCGTACAGCGTATAACCTGGGGGGGGGGGGGGGGGGGGGCTCCACCACCTGCACAACCACCTGATGCAGGAAGCAGATGTGGCGGGTAGGTTCGGTGAGAGCTGGCTTGCAAGGCACGAGCGGGCTGCCCTACAAAGTCAGTCGTACAGGGCAGAGAAATTCCATCCGCTTTCTTTTTGTAAAGACACTGTGAAAAATATCCTCGTAAATTTACTACATTTGTTGTAACATTTATTTACAAAATATGTCGGTATTTACGACAGCCCATTCCTGCTCGTTGGTCAATTCCAAGTCGATAGGGAGTGCTTTCCCGTTCACATTGTAATTTTAACGACTTTCATCATGGAAAATTTTCGCGTAACCCTTAAGAGTATTTTTCACAGTGCAAATAAAAACACAAAAAAAGTGATAACGGGTAAACTTTACCAAAAAAAGTGTTCGGCTAGAAAAATATTCATGCAGGGTTAGACACCTCTTTGTTCGTATGTTTGTTATGGTCATTTCGTAACCGTACGGACGTTTGTCATCCTCCAAAAGCTCGCAGAGCGCACACCAGAGAGGGGGATGAGCGATGTAGAATACAGATTTGTGGCGCCGTTGTGCAATCGGCCCGCCCGGGAGAGGGCCCGCATGCCCGCCCACCCGAGCGCCTGCCCACACACAGACTGCGCTAAAGCCACCGCTGCGGCCAAATCGTCGCGATATCCCGCCACTTGCCTTTCACCCCCTTGACTTTCCCCGGCTCTCTCTCTCTCTCTCCCTCTTCCACTATAACATCCACCACTTCGCCCACGCTCTCTCGCTCTCTCACACACCAACGTACGAGAGATGGAGGGAGAGGTCCGAGAGCCAAGGGCTTACATTATTCAAAACATTCGACGGGCGCCACAACTGGCCGTAGCGAGCCGTAGAGTTGCGTGGCTTCAAGCGTCCGATTGAATAATGTATCCGGTAGGCGGGAAGAGGGGCGGGAGGGGGGGGGGAGGGAAGCTCCCTGGCCGACTCTTTCGTTTTGTTTTATCGTCCGCGCGTACGTCTGTGGGGGAAGAAAATCAAGAAATGTACACTTTTCACCCGAGTGGGCGCGTCGGGAAGGGTAGATCAAGAGAGAGAGAGAGAGAGAGAGAGAGAGAGAGAGAGAGAGAGGGAGAGAGAGAGAGAGAGAGAGAGATTGCAGCAGCGTGCGACAGAGCAGCCGGCCGCTGGGCGGGCATCCCTCGGGGACGACAACGAGAAACCGACGTGGCGTACCGGCGGGAGGAGCGGTAGGTGGGTACTTCCTCTCGAACCGCTCGGTGACCGATTTCCCCCCTTCCAGCCTCTCACTCGCTCTGTTTCTCCTCGCTCGCTCGCTCTCTCTCTCTCTCTCTCTCTCGCCCCCCGTGGACCAGCACGGCCACGGCTGCTGCACTGCGAGATAAGACGCACCGTCCATAAAGAACGCAACGCATTGGAGCGCGGGAGACGGCCAATGAGTGCGACAAGGACGGGCCGCGTCCACCCCATTGCGCCAGCCGGGACCCCGGAGAGGTCCGGGAACGGGGCCCCGCCCGACGCCCCACCCGATCAGTGCGTATGGCGGGGGCCGGCGAAAAAAACAAAAACAAAAAAACAACCGCGTCGGCGGCGGCAGGTCAAGTTCCACCCGACCGATCACACACCGGTTTGGGCGACGGATATAAAGAAGGTTAAGTTCTACCAAAACAATGATATGTCAGCAAAATGATTTGTTTTGCTGATTTTTATTAAATCTTTCGAGAAAAGGTCAGCTGGAAATATCGTTGTATTTAGAGTGACAAATAATAATGAATGTCGGTGTAGTTTTAAAACGTTTTCAAATTTTCCCGAAATTTTAAATTGTAATACGTGTCGTTAAATGATGCTACAGGCCTTTTTCTTATTGTTGTTCTCCTCGATTGACGTTGACGTCCCTGCTCTGCGGAGAAGTGTCCGCGTTCCGCAGGGCTCAGCTGGAGAGCGCTAGAGAGAGCCGAGCTGGCGCTGGAGAGTCCAGGGCGGGCAAGAGGGAGGGACGTGTCCGCCACGCTGTATGTCCTCATCGGCCCCGCCTCAAAATAGCGCCGCCCGTTTAGCGGGTTATTTTGGTCACGCGTGCGGCAAACGCCAAGGTGCGGGCACACCGCGGTGCCAGAGAGAGAGAGAGAGAGAGAGAGAGAGAGAGAGAGAGAGAGAGAGAGAGAGAGAGAGAGAGAGAGACGGGTATGCCGAACTCGTTTCACTTGAGAAGGAGTTAGCCCTCCCGTCGGTATGCTGTCCACGGATGGAAGAACCGCGCCGGGTGCGAACGGCTCCTCGTCCTCAGCAAAATTAACCATAGCAAAGAAATGTACAGAGCAACTTAATAATAATACAAGAGTCAGGAGTTTGAATAAAATAGTAGGATAATTTGAACTGAAACGTTACACTTGCCACTTGCGTTAGAAACACGCAAGTATCAAACATTATTTTTTTATTATGAAAAATAAAAATGGCTGAGCCGAGCCATACAACATTACATCTACAAACAACTCTTCCGGAACAGCAAAGACGCGTAACGAAAAAAACTATATAGAAAAACTGAGCAGCTGACAATACAATAACAGCAATTCAATTACAGAAACAGCAAACAAAAACACATTTTCCAAAAATTCACAGTACTATAATTATATTAACATAACGTCTGAGCCCTGAGGTGACGACACAGGCTCAACCCGTAGTAAACATCTTAATCTTTCACACGGTACAATCAAAAGAAGTTTCCTTTAAGTGGGTTTTGAGATGTCTACACATCTCGCTACTCTGGTTAAACTTCCTGTTGCAGACGGTACACTCGAAAGGTTTTTCCCCAGAGTGGGTTCGAAGATGACAACGCAGATAAGAGCTCAGGGCAAACTTTTTGTTGCAGACAGCAAACTCGAAAGGTGTTTCATCGGGTGTGGATTCGGAGGTGTCTACGCAGATTACTACTTTCGGCAAACTTTTTGTTGCAGACAGTACACTCGTAAGGTGTTTCACGAGTGTGGGTTCGGAGGTGTCTACGCAGCTCAGCAGTCTGGCCAAACTTCTTGTTGCAGACTGTACACTCGAAAGATTTTTCCCCAGTGTGGGTTCGAAGATGGGTACGCAGATGACTAATCTGGGCAAACTTCCTATTGCAGATGGTACACTCGAAAGGAGTTTCTCCTGTGTGAGTACGGAGGTGAGTACGCAGATTACAAACTTGAAGAAACTTTCTGTTGCAGATGGTGCACTCAAAAGGTGTTTCTCCAGTGTGGGTTCGGAGATGGTGTATTAGCGTACTATTATGGGCAAACTTCTTGTTGCAGACGGCACACTCGAAAGGTTTTTCCCCAGTGTGGATTCGAAGATGAGAGCGCAGGTCACCACTCTGGGCAAACTTCCTGTTGCAGATGCTACACTCGAAAGGTTTTTCGCCGGTGTGGGTTCGAAGATGAGAACGCAGTTCACTACTCCGCCCAAACTTCCTGTTGCAGACGGTACACTCGAAAGGTTTTTCCCCAGTGTGGGTTCTTAGATGGTAACGCAAATGACTATTCTGGGCAAACTTCTTGTTGCAGATGCTACATTCGAAAGGTTTTTCCCCAGTGTGGGTTCGAAGATGAGTACGCATATGACCACTCTGGGAAAACTTCTTGTTGCAGATGGTACACTCGAAAGGTTCTTCCCTAGTGTGGGTTCGAAGATGAGTACGCATATTACCTTTCCGGGCAAACTTCTTGTTGCAGACGGTACACTCGAAAGAAGTTTCGCCTTTGTGTTTCGCCATGTGGACAGCTAGTGCGCTTTTACTTCGCACCTTCGCTGTGCAGACAGCACACTGAACGGGCATAGTAGACACCGAGGGACTCGTACTTCCTGCAAAACAAGGAACCATTTCGTGAATCAATTACGTGTTTCATTATGGTTTCAGGTATTTTTTTAAGATGTCTAGTAGGAGCCTTTTTAGACAGCTCACAAGACTCTCTTTATCTCTATTGGAGGGTACATCCTTTACGGATGTTTCGTAACTTAAATAATGGCCAGACCATAACGGGCTGTCCGGTTTTGTTTTGATTTTTAAAACGGCTCAGATTGTACTTCAATATTACAGCAACTCACCGTAACGGTGTGCGACTGATCCTGAACAAGATCCTTGCGGTCCTGACTTTCCTTTAAAAACCTGGATTGACCGTGGCCATTCCGTACTATAAGTTACGGGTTTCCTACCAATGATCAGTCGCATTCACAGTGTCTCAGGAAACACGGCACCAGGGTTGCCAGGCGCCGAGCGAGTCAAGTCGCCCGAGCCGAGCTTCCAGCCGAGCTTCCAGCTTGTCTACGGGTGTTTTGTCACAAATGTTTGCATAAAATTTGTAATTATGCTTTGTTATCGTGCCTTACATCGGTATTTTACACATTTACTTCCAATACGGGTGAAATAGGACTAAAATACATCAAAAAACACCCAAAAAACGGAAAGTCGCCCGAATCGCCCGGTTCAAAATAAAAATCGCCCGGAAATCACCCGGGCGCATTTAGACCTTAAAAGTGCGCCCGGAGTCACCAAAAATCGCCCGGCGGGCGCAAAATCGCCCGGTCTGGCAACCCTGCACGGCACAGCGATTGCTTTCCAGGCGGGTGGAAGTAGCAGGAAAACTTGCGCGTTGCAGTTCAAGTGTAAGTGTGGCTGTGTGTGTTGCAGTGCGGCGGGGCGGGGCGGGGCGGGGCCGCGGTGAGCCATTTGCCACCGGGTAATGCCCGCGCGTAATGGCGGATGCTGGAGCAATAATTACGATTCGTGACGGTCGCTTGTTCGTGACAGGCTTCATTGTTGCAGCTATGCGTTTGGAGCTCAGCCCGAGGGGAAGGGGGGGTGGGGGTGGGGGGGCTGTACCCCTGCACCAACCCCCTCGCACACCAGCAGCGGACCATGACCATACCACCCTACTTACCCTTCCCGAACTTCCTGTCATAATACCACACAAACCGCGGAAACCGCGGTCGTCCGTGACCACGACTAGAATCCCGCTTGAGCCCCCCGCCCTTTCCCAGCGCTTACATAAAAAAAAAAAAAAAGTAACTTTTGAATGTATATTTTTTGTTAAACTGGACATCAGTTTTGTTTATCAAGTGACAGGCATCGATTTGTGTTTGTTTCGTTCTCAGAAAGACAGGAAGAAAGAGAGAGAGATCGAGAGAGAGAGATCGAGACAGAGAGAGAGAGAGAGAGAGAGAGAGAGGCGCGCAGGGCGGTCGTGGGGCTGCTGCGCAGGCGGCACGACGCCATGTGTTTATCTTACGGCTAATCTGACGCGTTAACAACCCCCTAGCAGTAAAACCTCTGCTACTCTGCGCTTTTTTTTTGTATTTATTTCAACCCCAGCGCGCCACACTATTTTTTATCTTACAAAAAGTATAACTCCGTTTTGCAGTGCTGGCACAGCAGCAATGCCGCCGTCGGCGCCCGCTTTTTGCAGTAAGTGGGCCAACACCCGGACTGGGCTAAGGCCCCGCCGCGCCCCACCACGCCCGGCCAGCGCTAGCGACACCTTTTCCACCACATTTCACACGTCCCAGAGCGGAGGCGGGGAAGGGGAGAGGCTCTTTGTAAGCGCGTGCATACCACGCCCAGAGCGGCTTGAATACCGAGGCTCGCTGGGTCGCCACCCCCACGGCCCCCTACTGTTCAAGGCAGCCGCACAGCAGGTCATCTAAAAGGCGCCAAGAGGCAGGAGACCTGCGTCGCGACCGGTCGCGACGAGAGAGTGAGTCTTGCAAGCCGAACAGGCGCCGAGCGGCAGAGGGCCCAACTGCAGGAGGCCCGCGTCCCGTCGAGAGTCCTGCCAGGCGTCTCGCTCTAAATAGGCACCGTTCCTGCGTACTTTAATGATTTAGGGCCCGGCAAGGGGGATGGGAGGGGTGGCCAACCCAGCGCCTATCGGCACTGCTCCACGACGCGGCCGCTTTGCTCGGGTTTCTTCTCCTACTTCAGCGCTGAGAAGCCGGCGCACAGCCAGGCATTGTGTGCGAGCTAAAAGGAGGCCAGCAACGCCCCGTCGTCGTTATGAGCGGAATATCCCACGCAGCGCAAGTGAGCAAGCCACAACTTTACTGCAGAAAATCCCGCTGCAAAACGCAACACACTGTTGGAAATAAATGTCACCTGACGACACACTGCGTGGTGGGTGACTCGCATGCTTTACAAAACAAAAGTGTTTTTTTTTATATTTGAACCCTGTCGAAACTTATGATTTTTGGCCTATATCGGCCCACAACAGAAACTACTTGGTATTACTTTGCTACATGTACAATAAGAAAAGTGTTGTTAATTTTGTTAGCAACACATTTCGTTCTAAAACAAATCACCCGTAATGTTACGAAAAAATTTCCAGGAGCAAAACAAAAGTGACTGCTTTTGATCAGAAACTTCGTTTTCGATGTTATTAAGAATGTTATTTTATTTAAGTGTTGCTAACAAAATTAACTTAACTTTCGCTCTTAATTTACAACAAATTTCTTTGACAGTAATGCATTCCTTTACACCAACACAATCACATTAATAAAAGATGAAAATGCGTGTCAGAAAAAAATGTCAGACTCGTCGTGTGTCAACTTTTTCAAAACGAATCTCCGAGTCCGTCGGGTGCACGCCACCACGCTCTCCTCGAGCCTCCGGGGAATCTGCGCGACGCGCCCGGCAAACTCCCCGCCAATGACCCTGCGCCGCGCGCTGCTGTCCCGCCAAACTTTCAGGAGGAGGC